CCGTACCCGCGAGGTTGTCCATCGTGTAACACATATCGCCGGCGAAGTCAGCTGTAGGTGTACCAGTGCAATTTCTGTTCTTGAAGACCCGGGTACGCCCGCAATTTCCAGCACCAATAACTTGAATAGAACCTCGATAAACACCTTCTCTGAGACAGATTTCTTGATCAAATCCAATGTAAATATTTCCAGACCCTGAGCAGTCATTCCTTTCATAAAATATTATCTGAACATCGCTCTGACCTGCCACCATGGTCGACAAGCTCAGAAGAGCCATCTGCATGCCCAGAGCACAGACGCTCATTGCGCTCCACCTATCCATCTTCTCTGAGTGCTGCAGCAATCGAAGCAACCAGACATCAAACAATCTGGAATCGAAGTTTGATGTTCTTTGTCTACTGCGTCATTCGATAATTCCAACTGCAGGAAAGAGCAGGGTCGTCTACGTTCTCAACACTGAGTCGATCTCAGTAAGCTGTTATGAATACATTGTTTGATATTTAAGCTTAAATTAGACTAATCACTCAATCTTTCGAACGTATAGATTTTCGAATAGCAGTCTCTAGGTTCGAAGCAATCAAAGCAATTCAGACCTTCAGCAATATGTCGACAAACTGTGAAAGCAATGTGAAACATTACCATGAGCTCGGAATGAAATAATATGAACTCACAGATAAGTACAAGCAGGATCTAAGACTTTACTTCCAGATAGCGGTTCATACAAAGTCTGAACAGAAATTACTTTGAAAACAAGTCTCGGACCAGTCTTGCCACACCTTGTCGGTATATGCTATGATCCAAAAGTAGAAGACGCACTGTAAAGTATGGCGGATCCGTTGATCTTATATTCTTCAGCAAGCAGTTGAGACCAGCGTACGCCGAGGTTGACTTGCCCACGCAACATACCTTGCGTAGATAAAACTATTGTATTCAATTCTTCGCTCTGGATTTCAGCTTCTTTGTTCCAAGATATCTGTAGAGTAAAACATCAGTTTGCATGACATACCATTCACGTTCGAAACGGTTTTCTGTCTCGTTACAGAATGTGAGTGCTCGTTTATCATTCTCAGCTGGACGACTACCACTATTGTGATCTTCTTCATTTGTTCCATCCACTGTTCATCATGTCATCGAGAATGTCGTACACAAGTTGAAATATGGAAACAGGATTGTAGATATGAAATTGGTGAAGAACATTCGAGCAACTTGGCTGTGTGCGCTATCACTATTCCTAATGTAGCAAAATGCAGATACATGGATGAACAAGGGAGCCTTGGAGTTTTCCACAACCATTGCAGAGTTGTGGAAGCAGCAACATGCATTATTTGAATCTTGATGGATAGGCAAATTAAGAGGGATTCTCTTACTGGGCCACCATAGTTTGCAGGTTAATTCTGATCTCACTCAATGGGAGATATATAGGAAATTAGAGCATTTTGTGAACCTTCGAAGCCTGTTCACCTTTCATCGTACGATTCCTCTTCCTAGCATGTTTATAACATCATCAGGCATATTCAGGCAATATGCACTTCCAATTGGGATGGCGAAGTAATGAGTGTTTCTTTTTTTTTAAATCTCTTCATCATGTTAAGCTTTGAAGTTTTTCCTTATTCATATAGTACGCACGTAGGAGCCCAATATTGACGTTGATGTTTATGCTTTTGGATGTTTATTCAGTAAAATTTCATGTTTAAATGCTGATCTTCACTGCATGGAAACATAAATTTTGATATTCCCGTGAGTCTCGTCATTGACTTTTGAGATTACCAAAAGCCAAAAGTGTTAAACATGTGTTCCCTTGAGACAATATCTATGAGTCAGCCCACAGCAGCAGTCGGAATGAGCAGAGTCAGGTTGTCAAATATTTTCACTCACGGAGCACGTTTTGGCCATGACCTGCCAAGTCAACTCAACACTACTGCATGCAACGAGTCTATGATGGAGGTAAGGAAGAAAGATTGCTCAAATCAAGTGCTGCTATAGTCATCGAAAACGAGGATCATAATTTTGATTTGCAACGAAGACAATAGATTGTCGGTGCCGTTCAGATTTGCTACAAGAACCGTGGAACAAGCACAGTGATGAGATGTACCACAACTTTGCACAATCTTACAAGGAAGTTGGCCTATCAATTTAGGTCTATCCTAAACCTGTTGCAATAGAAATCACAAAAATTTCAATAGAGGATTATCTTAACATTTCAGAGTATTTCAAATATCACTATCAACCTTCCGGGGTGGACTGAAAATAAGAGCGTATAAACCTTCACCTGACTTGACAATTGCCAACCATACATAGACGGCAAAATCCAACCTCCAACAATGAGCTGAATATTCATATCTTGCTTTCAATAACGACTTTCAAGTAAACTATAAGTCCGCTTTTATGTAAAATCAATGAACTGGTGAATGTATGTCTAACCAACTAGGCGTACGTGGAATAACACCGATACTTCCATCTCCAGATCTATGAAGATGAATTTTTTCATAAATCTTTATTACCTTTTCATTACCTTTTCATACATCTTCCTTTTCATTTGAAAAACCAAGTTTCTTATAGATCTATATGTCGGGGGGTTTTGGAGAGTTACATACAAAGTACTGCAGTTTGCAGGCCAGCTGTCCCAAGCAGCTCTTAGATGTGAAAGTGAAAGTACCTCTTGCCCAAGTAAATGACTATACTGAGCAGTATTCCTGACAAAACTCCAAAACTCTAGCAAGAATGGTGATCAATGCAAGGGAGGATGAGACCGAATAGTTTATGATCATGATTCATTTTCGTGGCTACTATTCTTCTCTCTACAGCAAAGTCACGGGTAACTTCCACAGAGAGGCTTACAACTACCATAGCCTCAGATTCACTGGCCAAATGTGATGGACATGCATGCATGCATGCATGGTAATGGGCTCAGACACTGAACTCAGCCAAATGTGTGGCATCATGAGGCATGACCTACGAGCTGAGCATTGTCTGTAAAGCAAAAAACTTTGAAATGGATTGAGCAGAAGTGCACAATTCTTCCGTTTATTCGGGAGAAAAGTGAGCAAGATTCACAATCAGGACGGCCATAAGTTCGTAGAGAAACCCTAAACCCTAAACTTCTCGGTAGTCATTAGGATCCTCCTACATGCGAATAAATTACAAATATACCACTAGTGACAGATTTTCTTTCATATTTCTGATAAAGGAGATACTAGAATCTAAATATTGCCCTAGGAACCATAATAGCATGGATATGGCTAATTTGTACATTTGGAACTCTTGATGAATGCGAGGATCAAGAGGTTTTGAATGCCTCCGTTAGCATCGGTACTTCCAAAAGTATTGAATTGTGGAACGGGACTGAAAAAGGAAAACTAATGAATAGATGAAATGTGTATCAAACAGCGCTGCGATGCCTCAGTCTTACCGAATAATCTTCGTGGAGATAAGAAGAGAAGAATTGTAACCATCTTTCGATCCTAGGGTTTGAAAGTGTTGTATTTAAGGTCAAACTTGGGGCTTTATGTCCTGCGCGGATATCGTCGCACTTCCTGGTCGAGTTGCGATGTGAGCAGTAAGCCCACGAACTGGTGAGGAAGTCTGTCAGCTGCTAATTCTGATTCTGAGAGTAGTTCAGCTCAGCATCGCACTCTAGGCATTTTAGGTATCACTACACGACACATATAGAGCACAAATGAAGATCCCTTGAGTAGGATTGTTCTGAATCTCAGGTGTACTGTTGGGATCCTCCAACAAAAGGTCGGAGGCATTAGCTGGAATGTGCTGTTGCGTCGAACAGACGGAGCTGTGTCACTAGCAGCTGAGGGAGTCAAATCATTACCACCGCCTTCTGAAAGTTTCGGCATTCTGTCAGCCTTAATCCGAAAGATCCAGTAATTGGTCATCCTTACAGTGACAATTCAGAATCTCTTGTCATAGATTGCCAAACGCTCCGTCGGTCGTCCGATTTCTCCATCTCTATGTGCATGCGTTAAGTGTGAGCTGCCTTTTTTCCTCTAATTGTTCCTTACAGGATTATTGAGCAGCATCTAGGTTTCAGACTTACAGTCACAGGAAATTTAGCTTCACCTTTTAAGGCTCGTTCTTGACTTGGAAATCATATCATGAACAAATGCACGTTGAATATTCCAAAGGAATGTTCGACGTAATATTATATCTAGGTCACGAACGAGATTGAAAAAGTGAGGTAAATGTCCTGTGTGACTGTAAGTCTGAAACCTAGATCCTGCTAAATAATCATGTAAGGAACAAATCCGAGAAAGGAGACTAATATGTTGTTCGACTAAAATTTTTAAGCAGAAGGGAAAGTAACACAATCTCTGGACCTGCATTCAGAATTTTTTTTTCAAGCTTTGATGTTTTCTATAATTTTGTATAATGATTGTTGGTAAGAAGAAAAAAAACATGATGTACTGATACTCTGCTCATAAATCTGGGATTGCGAAGAAGGAATCAGCATCATCATCATCGAAAGATTGCGCAATTAGTAGATGTTGATGAATCAAATTTATCATGTTCAATACCAGGCTGGAAGCTACCGTACGAACCCGAGGTTGTATTCTCTGCAGATTTCTGTAGAAAACCTTCAGCTAGAAGCATGTCAAGCAATATAGACGGACTTTCAACAAGGGACAAATTGATACACGGATGCGTACAGATCACCCGTAACTAGGATCATATCCTGATGATGAAACACCCTTGCCAAGTACGTGCATGTGATGGCAAGCAAGGAAATTTTAACAGAAATTGTATTTTGTGTCCTAGCTTACTCTACAGAGACCTCACGGGTTACGCACATTCTAAACTTAAAAATGTAATCCTCGTATTTCTCATAGAAACGTGAGGAGCATGCATGCATGCCATATACGATATTCAACGAGAAAAGCGGAACGTTTGAAGGCAATGTTGAGGCACCATCTTTGCACTGCGAGGGTTTTGGGGCCAAAATTTCCCTACAAAAGCGAGAACGTCCGTCTGGAATATCACCTCAGTCTTAAAGTCTCTGATACTCTCCTCAACATTCATTGAGTGAGACTGGACTTGGGACGGGGGTTCTTCGGCAGAGCTAGCCCAACAAATTTTCAGAGCCACCCACATGCTTGTGATATACAAAAGACAAAAGTCGATAGTCAGCTTTTGTTCATCATTCTTTCTGTTGGCAGCCGTTGGGCTAAACATCTTTCATGATGTATACCAAGATGTCGTCACAATGGCTCCTTTGGACCTTTGCAGCCTTTCTATTAGCACTTACAGTCGATGCCCAGCTTTCTACCACCTTTTACAGCTCTAGTTGCCGAAATTTGACGGCCAGGGTAGATGAGATTATTCGAGGACACATCAGGAGGGATAGAACACTGGCTCCCTCTCTGCTTCGCCTTCACTTCCACGATTGCTTCGTTCGGGTACGTCATCTATATCGTCCATCAATGCTTTGCATCATGCAATCATGTTATATGATTTGGTAACAAGAAGTCCCACTTTTTAGAATGTGGTGATTGTGATTAGTGCTCAACATTACCACTATAGGTCCTGAGGATTTTGTTCCAGGGAGTTCTTATTTCTGATTCTCCTCTTTTCGGAATCTCAAGCCCGTCATAATGTACGCGCTTGTTTTGCACAGGGTTGTGACGCCTCAGTTTTATTGAATAGTCCTCGTGGCGCTCAAGGGGAGAAGGACGCCATTGGCAACAAGGACTCACTTCGGGGTTTTGAGATCATCGACGATGTTAAGACGAAAATCGAAACCATGTGCCCTGGCGTGGTATCATGCGCTGACCTACTTGCTCTTTCAGCCCGAGACTCGATGCGAGCGGTAATGAAACAATTTTCGTGCAGCACCTTGTAGACTACTGTAATTCGTTACTTCTTTATTTGTTGCTAGGAATATTCGGGTGATATTTAACCGAATCAGTTGCAGAGAGTTATGATGAGCATGGCTGATTACCTCTTGGAATGGAGTTATGATTATATGGTTAGTAATTATCAAATGATTAACTGCAAGTGGAAACTACGGTACAGTTTGGTAATATCACCTGGAGCGTACCACTGGGTCGAAGAGATGGGACTGTGACATCCGCTAGCGAAGCAAATAATGATTTGCCACCGCCGTTCGGAACCTTCAGTTCGTTGTCAGCAATCTTCAGAAGGAAAGGGCTTACAGTCAAGGATATGGTCATCCTTTCAGGTGCTTACTTGTTTCTAAGAGAAGCACTCTACTGATTTTCTCAGTCCTAACTTTCAACCGTTGATTCAAGATTAGGACATAGATTCACAAAGTAGTCTTACTGAAAAGATCTCACAAGCATGGAATGTAAGCAGTGCAGGAGAGTGGCCGAAATTTGATTCTTGATGTGTAATATTGGATGAGAATTCTCTCATCTAATTTTAACATTCAGCAATGAGTTACTACATCAGCATACAGCTCCTTGATAAACTAGGATGTATCTTCTGATGCGAGTGGTTGTTGATGTATGCAGGTGCCCATACCGTAGGCACTGCACGCTGCGCCAGCATGCAGACGCGTCTGTACAGCTTCTCGTCAGCTAACCCCACAGATCCAACTCTCGATCCTACCTTCGCGTCTCGATTGAAGAGGCAGTGCCCGCAAGGTGACAACACCACACTAATCCGCAACGATCAGACAAAGCCTACTGACACTTGGGACTTCAACTACTATTCCAACGTGCTGAGGAGCAAAGGGCTCTTCGGTTCAGATGATGCGATGAAAAGAAATCCAGCAGCTCGCAAAATTGTACTCTCTCAGAACAAACCAGGATCACCTTTTAGTGCAGAATTCGCAAAAGCTATGGAGAAGATGGGAAGGATTGGCGTACTTACAAGCAGGCAAGGGCAGATTCGTAGGACATGCACAAGAACGAATTAGGTGCCAGATGTAACACTGAACCACTCCGCTGATATTTACCGATTATGGTAGGTTTTCCACTATCTTAGCTTACCTTGAGTGCTGTGCTCACCACACTCCGGCTCTGAGCTCTAAGCCCTTAGAGATGTTTCAGAATCTCCCATGAGGAATAAGAATTGACAAATAAAGAGACACGTACAGAGAATCTTTGTTCGACCTCAAAGCAAGCTGATGCTTAGCCTCGATATCCGACGTGCTTAGAGTCTTCTCAGCCTTCGGAGTCCGTGTCAGAGGTCTGTAGCTAATTATGAACTTTGGCAGTTGCTGTGACACTTAAATACGCTGGGGAAGACCAGAGTCCAAACATTGACGAATAATGATCAGAACGAGTCGGATAGTGTGTTTCTTCTCACCACATCTACTACATAGTAGGCTCTTTTTGGTCTCAAAATGATCATCGTCTCTTCCTCTGTCATTTTTCTTCTTTCGACAAAGTTACCCTACGTAGCGAACAATACCACCAAGCACTGAGATGAAGTGCAGCATCTACTGGCTTATTGGCGGCCTGCAAGTCCATAGTTGAAAAACATTTACATGTCCACTTCACTTACCTCGGTATATTTCCTGCCTCGCCTTCTGTTACTTTTTTCCTAACGAACATCCTTCGTATTGACCTCTTTCACATCAGTAAACATTGGATCTGTCCTTTCACAAGAATTCTCTGTAATAGAGAATGACAAGTCATCTCGATCACCCATAAATTCAAGGGACCTGTCAGTCACCGAGAACGTCCATTTATACTAACTTTTTTGTCATGAGACGAAAATTCGTTAAATGATCCGCACATAACGGAATGGAATATTATGGAATCACTTTGTAACAAGTATACTTTGTATACTTGTTACAAAGTGAGGTGATATCATAGAAGTTGAATTTGTGATTGCCAGTTATTGCTTTCTAAACAGTAATTCAAATAAAATTGTAATTAATGATCCATCTAACTAGTAGAATTCATATTTAAAAATGCCATATAATTTATTTTCTAGTTTATAATTGTCAATGTGTATTTTAGAAGAAAAGAATTTTATTGCAACGACTTCCTGCTAAAAAAGATCTATTTTATTTTTTATAGACTGATTGGAATTAGTGTTTTATATTTCAGAAACATACCTTTTTCAATTTGTAAATAAATATCTGCAACAACAATTCATTTTTTTGGGTTCTAAAAACAATCGCTGTAAGCATTGAATAAAACTTGAAGATTTGCGAACATTGAAGTTAATGCTAAAAAATACTCCTGAGCATCTTCTTAACATTTTAAAGTATTATGAATTTGAATCATTCTTCAACAAACTGATTTATAAAATCTCTAGAAGACTCTATCAAGATATATAGATAATATAAAAATTCAACACATATTACTATTTCTAAATTCTTTTAAATTTATTTTCAATACAAATTTAAAATGAGAAAGATACAGCGTACACGATTTCCAAGACATGATTAGATCCTTTTTTTTTATCAATATAATATTTAAATTTTTTATGGATTATATCTAGCTGTATGAACACCATCTATTGTGCTTGAACTAGGTGCTGGCTTTTTTGTATATTTAGTGGTTTTCTTGTGGCTACTACAAGTTAGCGCTATCTATATAAAGTAAGAAATATATTATCTAGATCAAACATCAACTGATGTATTAATCAAACTGAATATGATTTATTTTTGCATATACTCTCTCCTTAGTATTTTATTATATTTATGATTCCTTGAGAAGCAAGAAAGCTCCTTACATACGCATATACTTAGAGTATTTTCTTGTACTCGCTTTTTATTGAGAAAGATGGATAAACACACTCTCTCCTAAACTGTGTGTGATTGGTAGTCACTAAAATTGCAACAATAACCTGGTACTTCTTTCGGAAGTATAGATTTGTGCTAGTATTGATAAGAACTAAATATACCAATTTGTACTCTATGTAAAGTTTCTGCAGACAGTATGTCAACATTCAAGTACATGAGATTCTAAACTACACCAGCCAAAGGAGCAACAACTCATATGTTTATTATAGTTACAGGTTAAAAATGAATACGCCAAATCGAGCTAAAGAATATGCCCATTAACTCATATGCATGTACATTTTCAATATTTACTATGAAGAAAATAATTGATGCGAATATGAGAAAAAGAATTTGACAATATTATTCCGTTTGTTGAGTTCGTGCGACTATCGTCATGATCAGGTTTTGGGGTACGAGCTGTAGAGTTAATAATTGAAGATCGTCTCTATCTGAATGCACTTTGCAAACATATACAATAAGTGTTTGAAGAAAAACATATAACAGATCATTACCATTACCATTTACTATCGTATAGAGACATTTTAAGTACTAATGTGCTAATTTCTCCACCATGCCTACTTCTAGAAGTTCCTTAAATCATGGTTTTACCTGACAAACATGTAGGTGCGGATAACATTTTCCATCTTCATTACAGATAGTTTCATCGATAAAGTTGGTATATATATATATATATATATATTGTTGTTGCTAAAAATTGTATTATGTCTTGATCTACCAATATACAAACTGCATTACAGAGAAGCGTTCATGTAATAACCCACCAAAGGCTAAAACTGCAATATAGTGGTAGAAAGGTCGAACCCACAGGGATAGAGACAACACATAGAGTACAAAGTGTCACATTTAACAGACTATTGAAGAGTTTGAATTCTCAGGCGACTGTCACTCCCAGAAATACTGCAAGTGTCCACTAAGAGATCACTCGGAGGTCGCACAGTGCAGCGTAGTTCACTCAACACACACACACACCTAAAACTATAGAAACACAACTCAGAGGTCGGTTAAGACCTCTACTTAAGATTTCAGGGGGGAAGGCTCTCGCGAATTCACTCAGCGAATCTGCGGGTAGTGACTCCCAACTCCGGCTTTTACAACCCTTCCACTAGTTTCTGCTAGCACAGGGAACCCGGAGTGGACTTCCTACTTCGGATCGAAGTCACTCACACGCGGTGAACAACACACCCAACTCACAAAACGCGCAGAGAACACAGGTCCGAACTGAGAGGCTCAACTGAGAAACGATCCAGTAGCACACCATAACAGTCTATTGAAGAGTTTGAATTCTTAGGCACTTGTCATTCCCAGAAATACTACAAGGGTTGCCCTGAAGGCACCTGCTGCAGTGTAACCTGAATTTACAACCAAGGCTTACTCGAAAGTAGCAAAACTTCACTTTGGCATTCAGGGGAAAAATCCCGCAGGAGTACAATCAGGAACAATCACTCGAAAGTGTAAGGGGGAAACTGTTCAAGTATCTAACTAGTAACTAGCTCTAAGCATCGGCAATCACCCGCAGGTTTAGATCCGAACTACTCAAGTCTCTAACCAGTGTACTAGCTCTGAACATTCAGCCGAAGGCCTTCAGCTACAAAATGCGGATCGCCAAGCTGCAGCTCCTCTTGCGCGGTGACAGAACTAAACAAAATGCGGATCGCCAAGCTGCAGCTCCTCTTGCGCGGTGACAGAACTAAGGACACAAACACGCAGAGAAAATGAGTTCCTCATCTGCACTTCCGAAACTGGAAGAATCCCAAGGCAAGACGCCTTGAACTACTTTATACGCTCTAAGTCCTAACTAACACTACACTACCTGCTATGGTGCGAGCCGCAACAGATCCTACACCTGAGGAGTTGGCGGCTGCCTTCCTCTCTAACTTACAACCTAAATCTAACCCTAACCCTTAATCTGAATCCTAAGTCTACTATACAGAGCCGCCAGCGTCTTTAACCGCTTTACATCCAAGATCTGAGGCTGAAAATTTGCAGGCATGCGTGGCCGGCTGAGACCAACGGCTTCACCAAATTTCAGATCCATCCGACCGTCCATTGCAAAGATATGGGCCCCGCAAGATCTCTGAACCTATGCCGAAATTCCTTCTCCAAAATCCGAGGTACGGGGGACCCACATGCCGCTTGAATGCCGTTCCCGCAATTATGGGTAACGACCTGCTCCTCACGTGCGACTTCACGCCCCGCCGTTCTGCCTCCCACGCGCGACTTGTGGTAACCCACTTTTTGTTTTTGTGCGGAATTTAAAACATTTTTGGAAAACAGTACCGCAGCAGCCATGTAAAGGGTAATCGGTACATTTAAATAGAGTGAAGATGGATAATCGCGGATCCCGTATGATCTCGTAGAATCCAGGAGTTGGGCGCAATGTCTGGAACAGGCGCCCCGGCCTGAACGATCAATTCTCAAGGAGATCTCCTTCAGCGCAAGGCGCATAATCCGCCTCCGGCCATACGCCTTTGGCTCTAGGGAAATCCCTCATAATCTATTCAATTCACAACGCCTTGACTTGGTTAGAGTTTCGTTGGAAAGAGCTCAACACGCTCATTCTAACGAGCCTAAGAACGCTTGGAACGGATGAGGAATCAAGGAGTTATGATTGTCGGAAGATACGTAGACGAACGCCTTCGGCGGAAGGAGTTCGCCTTCGGGGGTGAATTTCTTCGTACGGCGCCTTCGGCGCCCAGCGCATCAAGATTAGGTAAGTGCCTTCGTGGGGGTAGCAACTCCGTACGGTCCGCCTTCGGCCCAACGCCCTCGGCGGTACGGACATGTGCGCCTTCGGCGCAACAAAGCTTCGGCGGAACAAAGCTCCGGCGGCAAAAGCGCCTTCGGAGGGACAAGAGGGATCGACAGACAAGACAAATCCGTTGACTATGCTCAACGCCTTCGGCACAGCCGCCCTCGGCGCTGTGCCTTCGGCGATGCACCTACGTCGACGAGCGTCTTCCAAAAGTTCGACTTCGGCGCTGGGAGTCAACGCCTTCGGCGGTAGAGGTTCGCCTTCGGCGCTACGGGTCAACGCCTTGGGCGGAACGCCTTCGGCGGTGCGGGATAGTTACGAGTTGCAAATCGGCCAGAGGCAAAAGCCTTCGCCGCCGCGCCTTCGGCGCTGCGCGAACCTGGCCGCGGCGAAGTACGATGGCGGAAATCAAATTGAATTTTCGAGCGTGTGAGTCCGCGCGACGGCGGAACGTGAAGCCGCGCGTGCGTGAGGAGGGCCGTTACGCCTCCAAGCCGGCATAGCCATCAAGTGAGTCGACACTCACGACCAAGTGGCGACAATGAAATCTTGTGAGCCAAGGGCGTACAACTCATTCTTGAATTTGCGATTTCGATTTCTTGTGAGAGCTGCGCGCGCACATATTCTGGTAGAGAGAAATTCGAGAAGGCGACGCGTAGAGACTTGCAAGTTGACAGAGAGAGAATTGAGTGCGCGACCGCCGGAATTGAGAGAGATTAGAGGTTGCAGAG